TTCCCAAAAAATGATTTTGTCCCAATTTTATATAAAACGTTTTCCTCAAATACGTTTTTCTCTGCAGAAAAATGCAAAAAAAAATTTTGGATCCATTTCACAACCTGTTCAACCAACTAATATGAATCAATTCTCCCAAAATAATCCAACATACACTATATACAAAAAGTCAACCACAATAATTTATTCAAAACACAAACTTCAGTATACATAATGAATAAAAAACAAATATGTTCGCAAAATTCCCTGAATACAACACAAACTAATTAGGAGTGTATCGATTCGTAGGATTGCGCTGTCGGTGGCTGATCCGATGTTGTGGTCGTCATGAAGAAGACGATGTTGTGGGCGTGCCAGGTTCTTCTTCTTCTTGTTCTTCTTCACCTGAGTAAATAATTTTTTTAAAAATCACAATAAATAAATAAATAAATAAATAAAATAAAATTATTTTTGTGTTAAGTTAAAAATTTTCACCTTCTTCTTCTTCTTCCTAAGGCCCGGTGTCGGCAGCGGGTTGGCGGTCGCGTCGTCTTCTACCTCCATCAATGTTGGCAGCAGGTTGATGCCTCGCCCGGTGTGACTGCGTCCTCTGGGATCGGACGTAGCTCTCCTGCGAGAGAACTTGGCTCGACCGTGCCATGCCTTCTTGGAGCTGACATCCACTTTCCAGCACTGTTTCACATCAGCCTGGATCATGTCGACGCCGTACTCCACTTTCTTTCGAATCTTATTATGAATGAGATTTGAAATCATTTGGACGGTTACATTTCTGTGGTCATTTATCTTGACCGGTTGCATACAAGTGTGTCTATTAGTCCATTCAGTTAGTTCCCACATTTCATGAACCCGTCTGGACTTAGTCACCCGAGCCTTCCACACACAATGCGGATCTTCACTAGATCTGCAGACCACTTTGTATGACTTTTGATTTGAATCATTTACCCGAATCTCCTGCAACCTATCGACGTTCCAACCCATTAAAGCCATTTGGGCTTCTTGCTTGCTTCGAAAAACTATGCCCAAACATATGGTCTCAATGTCGCCATTCCAGCGTGGAATAGCATACACGTCCGCATCTATCCTGGACGGCTCCCATTCACCCATCTCGCGGTATACGTGTCGACCACCACTAGGAAAGGGGTGTTCTTCTTCAATGAACTCGGCTTCACTCTCCTCATTCACCGATCTATCTGATTCGGTTTCTGAGGTCTCGTCTGTGAAATTATCTTCACCGAGTACGAACTCTTTGTCACTTTCTTCCCCGTCCTCATTTGCCCTTTCTCTAATTGGTGAGCTTGTCCCTTCTCCAAAATTGCGTAGATGAGAAGTCGACGTGCCCTCATCCATTCTCCCGTAATAAGGAGTAAAATCCTCAAATTGTGTGACCGGTGTAATTGCCTCCAACGATAAATACAAATACACAACGGACATAGAAGGAGATAAATAAATCCACTCAAGAGCACTATCGTTATCGAGTCTTCCGGCAGTCCACGAACCATCGAGTTGACGAAACATTAAAGTAATCGCTTGAATTGTCCAACCTTCTCCAAACCGACAATTTTCATTAATCATCTGTACCAATTGTTCATATGATATCCTCCCCGTAATAACAAATGAACCATCCGGACTATCCATAAATGAAACAAAATCTCTTAACTGTTCCCTCGCACATCGTTAATACAAGTTAACAAAATACGAACCACAATACGCCATTTATACCTGTTGCAAACAAAAACTTTCAATTCTTCCCAATTACAACAACACATAATGTGTAATCTAATACCCAAAAAATTCAATTATTCTTTAAACCCATCTTTTTACTCTAACGAAAAAACCAAAAAAATATTCCCAATCGATTAATCCTCCAAAACCCTAATACCCATAATCCAACAATAACATACAATTCACCTATATTTCGAATAAATTGAAAGCCCTAATTCTAATTCGAACCCTAATTTCAAAAAACCCTAAGCCCAACAATAACCAACCAATACACAATTGACAATTTAGGACAAAATTCTAATCTCCAATTCAACATACACACATAATCGATAAACAATTAACAATTCACAATTTTCAAACACCACCACATTCAAACATACTATAACAATTACCAATTTTCAAGCAACTCCAAACAATGTCAAAAGTTGAGATAAGCCAATATACCTCGTGCGAATTACTTAACCGGAAATGAGGTTCGTGTTGTTGTTGTCGATTCATGTCAAGGTGGCGATTGGATCAAGTTTTTTTTTTTCGATAAGCTCTCGCAATTTTTCTGAAGAAAACTGAATGAAGTCGCGCAAATGAAATGGGGAAGAAGAAGAAAATTTGTTTTTTTATTCAATTGTTAAACATGTTAAACGTATTCATAGAATACGTTTTATACCTATTTAATTGTAAAACGTATTTATAAAATACGTTTTTATTTATTTATTTTTGTAGAAAATTTCATTTAAAACGTATAATAATTACACGTTTTTTAATATTTCTTATATTTTTTAGTTAATTAAAAACGTAATTATAATATACGGTTTAAAATATTTTTTAAAATTTAAATTTTATGAATTAAAAACGTATTATATAAATCCGTTTTTTAAAACCCTAAAAATCAATCATTTTAGAGTTTTGGAAAACGGATTTGTTAAATACGGTTTATAATTATTAATTTTTATTCATTTCGACTCTTATTAAAAGGAAATAAATATTTTCAAAATTATTCAAAATTAAGGAGGGGACCAGTTTAACAAAAGAAAATTTGAAGGACGACTTTAACAATTCTCGCAGGCGACTTTATAATTGTACCCCCAAAATGTTTGACGGGTCGGGTTTGGGAGTACCCCAAAATCCGCCAGACCCACCTGCCCTATCATCACTCCATCCGGCGACCGGCTAGCGCTGGTGGTCAATGGCATTGGCCGAGCCTCATCTTAAAACATTGCCATTCCCTAGAAAAATTAGATATTTTTAAATCTTTTCCCTGACATCAATCTCCTACTTCCCATCATCCCATGGATTCTTAGCCCCACACTCGATCAGATTTCGTATGCGTGTGGTTTCCTTCATCTCCAACACCAACTCAGATTTCGTATGCGTGTGGTTTCCTTCATTTCCAACACTAACTCACATATACTGAAACCATAATACAGGAACAAATCGGTTTAATGGGTTCTCACGAGGAAGAGAGGCTGCTCCTCGAAGACGGTCTGGTTGAGGTGCCTCTTCCCTTTCATCTCTATTTGGATGTTTTCTTTTTAATTGGATTGCTGTGAATTCTTTTTCTTTATTAAGATTTCATGACCTGAAGGAAATTAAAAGCGAGCATCATTGGCAAGAAGTATGCATGCGCATATTTAAGTAAGAGGGTTTCTAATTTATATTATTTGGGTCCGATCTTTTGTCTACATATCTATGATCAATAGGTTTCCATGGGTTCCAAAATGCTATAGAATTATCCTTTCGTGGTTATAGTTATGTTCTGCTCTTTTGGGCAACAGTAGAAAGAAGGGAATTTTCATATTCTATGCTGATACCGTGTTATTGGGAATCGAAGTAGATGTGAATCAAATTCAACCAACAATTAGCTTTTGAAACCTTTTAACAAGAGGTAAATACCAAATTTATTCTAATTTGTTGTAATCAGAGAGCTCTCGTCAGTGAATCAATTTTACAGTATTATTTGGAATAGAAGTAGATGTGAATCAAACTTATTGTTGTAATCAGAGAGCTCTCATCATTGAATTTGTTGGATCATATCCTGAGCTATAATAATATCTTTATGGTTTTAAATACGAGGGGTTCTTTGATCTGCCCAGTCATCTTTATGGTTTTAAATACGAGGGGTTCTTTGATCTGCCCAGTCATCTCGCCAATGTTAGCACTCATGTGAGATATTTGTTAACATATTTTTGCTTCAGCAAATAATATATACGGAGTTGCAAATTTTGGACTGTGCATGTATTCAGTTTTCTCGTATGTGTCAATCATATGATTGAACCAATATACTGGGTTCATGCCTATGATATCTGAACTAAAAGAGAAAAAAATTGAGAAGCGAAAGAACGAGAAGAATACTACGGGAAACAGTTTAAATAAATTTATTTATTGTTTGGAAACTGTATCTACTTTTATAATGATTGATGTCGAACTTTCATGTACTTCATTTTTATGATCATCGACATCAATTTGGCTTCCCATTCTACTTCTACTGTAGAATGGTAGTAACGGACTATATACCGGTGATGGTTCTGTGGACATTAAGGGGAACCCTGTTTTAAAGAGAAACACTGGGAATTGGAGAGCATGTCCATTCATCCTAGGTAAATATGGTTTATCATACTCCTCATTGACTTCCCTTATCCTTCATTTTTCTAATTTTTAAATTGATGCAGGGACTGAATGTTGTGAGCGTTTGGCTTACTATGGTATTGCGACTAACCTTGTTAGTTATCTCACTAGAAAGTTACATGAAGGGAATGTGTCAGCTGCTAGAAACGTGACCACTTGGCAAGGGACGTGTTACCTAACTCCCTTAATTGGGGCAGTCTTAGCAGATGCTTACTGGGGACGATATTGGACAATCGCTGTCTTTTCCACTCTTTACTTCATTGTAATCTCCTAACTTCCTGTCATTTCAAATTTTAATTAATTTGTTTTATTTTTATCGTCTGTTTTTTCGGTCTAAAAACTGGATTATTGAGGCATTTGGCCTTTGTTTTCGCATTAGAATGGAAACATGCATGTGCTATTTCATCGGTCCTCAAATCTCTTTGTGCACCCAGCCTTCCACAATGTGGAAAGTAGCGACTGTCTGATGCCATCTGTTGCCTCTCTTCATTTGACTTAAAACAAGAAAAAAAAGGTTCTCTTGATATTTTTGGAATATTGATACTGTAGCTTAAAACTTTCAGCTCTCGTTATTCCTTGATATTTTATTACCTTAGTGAGCCGTTGAACTCCCATAGGTACATGTTTTGTAATTTACGCTTTTCAAACTTTACAAGTTGCAGTTTGTCAGCATATTTGGTTCAACAGGTAAATATTATCTTTTCAGAGGGTTTGTAGCATCACTATCTTTTGTTAAAACTTCGGTCATGGTCTTTGTAGCATTGAGCCTAGAAATTGAGTGCACTGTTGGGTTTGATTGTAAATTACTGTTGTTTGAAACTAAATTTAGACATTTTTCTGGGTGGTGAAAGTATCCCAAGTCATGAAATAAAATGCATTGATCATGTTGTTGGGTGTTGTTGGAGCATACTGACTTTGTATTGAATTTCTTGAATTTCTTAATTAAGAATTAGAATAATGAACTGGTTGTAATTTATTTGAATCCGGAAAGGCAGTTTTCGGTAAAAACTACTTAAAAAGGTAGCATAACATAAAAATTCCAGGTTAAAATAATTAGTTGACGATGATGCACTGAACCTGAATTCCTTGTTGTACTTATCACTTTTTTTCACTAATTAACATTTTCCATGATAGAGCCATTGAAATATTTAAATCTTGTGCCAACTTGAAAAATAAAGCTCTAAATCCATTGTATATATATAGATTTTTTTTTTTTTTTTCTTTTGCCTCGTATATGTATTACATCTTTGATTATTTCTCTCTATCTCTGTTATTAATTCAAATTATTTTGTCCTCTTTCACGAAGGGTATGTGCACATTGACTCTCTCTGCAACCATACCATCCTTGAAACCTCCGGAATGTATGAACATGGTGTGCCCAACCGCATCACCCGCTCAGTATGGTGTATTTTATTTCGGACTATATCTTATAGCACTGGGGACAGGAGGGATCAAACCATGCGTCTCCTCCTTGGGTGCCGACCAGTTTGACGACACTGACCCTGGCGAAAGAGTGAAAAAGGGGTCCTTCTTCAATTGGTTCTATTTCTCCATCAATATTGGTGCCCTGGTGTCGAGCAGCCTGATCGTGTGGATTCAGGACAAGCATGGGTGGGGCCTCGGTTTCGGCATCCCCGCTCTCTTCATGGGGGTTGCTATAGTAAGTTTCTTGTCGGGCACACCTCTGTACAGGTTCCAGAAGCCAGGAGGAAGCCCGATTACGAGAATGTGGCAGGTCGTGGTTGGCTGTTGCCGAAAATGGAACGTGGCCTTGCCTAGTGACAGCAGCCTTCTGTACGAGACAACGGATAAAAAGTCTGCCATCGAGGGGAGTAGGAAGTTGTTGCACACAGATGAGTTGAAGTGAGACACTACTTTTTATTTATATATGGCAAAATTGCATATTAATACACCACCTATCATGTTTTTGCAATTTAATCACCACCTTTGAAATTTTGCAAATCAATACATCACTTTTACCATTTTTTTTCAAATCGATACATGAATGATGGTTCCGTCAACAAAAATCTAACGAAAATCTGACATGGCATTAAGCCACGTCAATGCCATGTCAGATCTTTGCTAACGGAACCGTCATTCATGTATCGATTTGCAAAAAATGTAAAGGTGATGTATTAATTTGCAAAAATTTTAAAGGTGGTGATTAAATTGCAAAAACATGAAAGGTGGTGTATTAATATGCAATTTTGCCTTTATTTTTTATTTGCAATGTTTGTTATTTTTCCTTTTGTCTCACTCAAATTGTTGGACTTGTTGAGGCAGGTGGCTTGACAAGGCCGCAGTTGTTTGCGACGGCGAGCGCGAATGCTGCACGGTGACCCAAGTGGAGGAGCTCAAAATCTTGATCCGCATGTTCCCCATCTGGGCCACGGGCATAGTCTTCTCGGCCGTGTACGCACAGATGTCGACAATGTTTGTGGAGCAAGGAACCGTGATGGACACTTCGGTCCCGGGCTTCCCCACTCTCACCATCCCACCCGCCACTCTCTCCACCTTTGACGTCTTTAGCGTCATCATATGGGTCCCAATCTACGATCGCTTCATTGTCCCCACGGCCCGCCGCCTCACGGGCTGCCCACGCGGCTTCTCCGAGCTCCAGCGCATGGGAATCGGACTCTTCCTCTCTGTCCTGTGCATGTCGGCCGCGGCCATCGTTGAGGTCCGGCGCCTGGCGTTGGCCTCGGCATCGGCCCAAATGAATGTGTTCTGGCAGGTGCCACAGTATTTCCTTCTTGGGGCGGCCGAGGTTTTCATGTTCATAGGGCAGCTGGAGTTTTTCTACGACCAGTCGCCGGACGCTATGAGGAGCCTGTGCAGCGCGCTGTCCCTGCTCACGACTGCGCTCGGGAATTACCTGAGCTCGTTTATTGTGACGGTGGTGACAGGGCTCACGACGAGCGGAGGGAGGAAGGGATGGATTCCGGACAACTTGAATGAGGGCCGACTCGATCTCTTCTTCTGGCTACTCGCGGGGCTTAGCTTTCTCAACTTGCTGGTTTATGTCTTCTGCGCCAATGTCTATAAGTCCAAGAAGCCCTCATCGGGAGCTTGACGCTTTTTAACGGTTTGCATGTTGGTTGTTGACGTGGAACATGGAATTCTGACGTATGTGATATGATGGAAGATGTCAAACTGTTGTATTTAGTGATTTTAATGATGGGAAAACTAAGATGAGGTTATGTCACGCATGAATCGTGTGAGGATATTATATTTATATATATGTCAATTCCTCTGCTATTGGTTTTCGAAATATGTTGCCAAAGATTTGAGTTTTCAAGCTATGTTTTTGGGACCTGCCACCGACTTGGTTATTTTATTGTGTTGTACCGCATCAAACAATTTAACCAAGATTTTATATATTAATCGTTTTTTTTTTTTGGTCCAAAACGGTAGAACTTCCTGAACAAAAATCCCTTTACAAAAGTTAGAATCCGGGAGGTTAAATAGCCTCAATATAAACAGAGAGAACCACCCTAATAGATGGCCTAAAGAAGCAACAAAAGACCACAAACATCTAAGAGCATAAAACAATTGACACTCTTAGACAAAGCTCAAATACAACTACAATAATGGATGAACTACTACCAGAACAAGACAAAACTAGACTGTGTACCACTGAACTCAAAAGAGACCGTGTACCCCACACTAGATCATCAGTTGTGTCCCTTAGCAATCACCAAAGCAAATTCACCCATATCCTTCCAAGCAGCTATAACAACCTCAAAATCAGGCATCCTTATATTCTAAAATTTTCAGAGATTTCTGGACTTCCAGATCCACTAAAAAATATATGAGGCAAATTGGATTCTCTCCTCACATGTCACTATTATGTCTATAACACAAACATTCCACCACCAACTTTTAAAATTTTGAGTTTCAGCTTGCTAATCTCCAAGTTCTTCTGGTTGTGATGCAATTAAAGAAGACATGTTCTATGGATTCATCTTCTTCTTCATAGGAGTTACAAACTGAATCCACCTGCATACCTCTTCTCTTTAGATTTGCACTTACAGGCAGCACATTTGTGAAACACTTCTTTAGGATGTGCTTAAGCTTACATTTGATTCTCAAGCACCAGCTTCTTCTTCTTGCCTCTCTGTCTAGTAGAGTTGTTCTACTGTCTTCTGCCACATCCAAATCTCTCAGTTTTTAAAATACCAGGTGGGAGTAGGTTGAAGACAAAGAGAACACTCATTTTTTTGTTAAAGGTGCAACACCATTTGTCATGAAGGTCAGGATTGAGAGTGTTGATGCTCCTGATCATCACTTTGTTTGAGTCCTCAAACCATTCATCCAACAATCTCCAACTTCTTCCTCCCTTCTCAAGAATATCTTCTACTCTAGTCAGACTGTAAACCCAATTAGTTCTTTTCTGGGGGATCCCAGTCAAGGATCGAGGTACCTAAGGATCATCCAACAACTTGGTAGATTTTCCATTCCTAATTTCCACTCCAAATCCCTTCTGGTGTTTGTCTCTCACCTTTATCCATGTTCTCCACATCCAAGAATAATTATAAGAAATTTTTGCTTGGAGAACAAAGCCTTTATGGAAGTATTTACCTTTGAGAATCTTATTGACAAGGAGATTTGGATTGGTGGCTACTCTCAAAGTTGCTTCACGATTAGTGCTTCATTAAAAAAGAGTAAGTCTTGGAAGCCCAAGCCTCCATCCTCCTTTGGGATAGTGGTGAGTATTCCAGCCTGTCACGCGGGTGACCCGGGTTCGATCCCCGACAACGGCGCCAAATTTATTGTGTACAAATTGTTTTTATTTACCGAGTACCGAATCGAAAGTTTCGTTCCTTCGGTCGATCTCACGAGGAAGGCGGTTCGGAATTTAGCTCTGGTATTGATAACACATAAAAGAAAAATAAATCCTAAACACTCTAATCACGATAGGGTCGAAAAATTATCAACTAAGAAATAACATAAAACAATAATCTACCGAAAAATATAAACGACACAATGATAAAGAAGCTAGGGAGTCGGGGATAATTAACTCAAGTTCTTGTAGCAAAACCGGGAAATTAATCGTTCGGTTCGAGATTGACACTCTTGCTTAAACATCTAGCGATTCACTCCCATTAACTCTTTGTAACAAGGGATTGAATATAAACGAGCAAGCTTGAGCATACAACACAAGCCAATTATCCCAATCCCATAACATGGGACGGGTCATCGACAAGCACGTATTTCAATCCAAAACCTATAGACTATTCATTTACGAAATTATCTATCTCATGCGAGCCTAGGTCTACGACTTCTCGCCTTTCGATTCTAAAGGTCGCTAATTCAATTAGAAGAGTATTAATCAACTAATCATTTAGAATTATCAAAACCCAACTCGACAACTCAATATCCAATCTTTACCAATTGCAAGATTGAAGTGTCACCTTTCGAGTATACCAAACTATCAAGCACAAATTCATCAATTTCAAAGTAAATCAACTCACTTAAGCATGAATAAATCAAAGCCCGACAAATACAAATCAAACAAGAACAATCATCCCCTATCCCTAGCAATCGGATTTAGCTAAGCAAATTGAATTCAACACAATAAATCATTTCTCCCAATTTAACCATTAGTCATGAATTAAACGAGAGAGAAAGAAACTTAGAAATAATCTCAATCCAAGTGTTGAATACGAATTACAAGCTTAATCTCTAAATACTAAGAAGAAGACGAAGAAAATGGAAAAAAAAAAGATGAAGAGAGGAGAAAATGAAGAAGAAGAAGAAAGGGAGGAGAAAATGATTTTTCGTGGCGTTCTCGGACCCTAGGGTTTTCACCCGGTTGAGAGTTATTTCTGTCGAGTCCCGTGCGAATATATATAGGATAACGTGAGCCACGGCATGGAAGAGTTGTGCTGCAGCGCGAGGCAACACGGTACCGCGGCGCGAGGATGTTGCACGGCGTGGCGCCTGGGAGAGGGGCGTCTCTGTCGGCCCGTGGAGAGTGCCGCGCGAGGCAACACGGCATGGAGAAAAGCTCTGCCGCGGCACAGAGAGATGCCGCAGCGTGAAGGAAGCGCATGCAGTGGCGCGGTGGGTTGTCGCGGCGCGAAGGAAGACAGTGCCGCGCCACGGCGCGTGGGGCTGCTAGCTCGACTGCGCGACTTTGTGTTACGGACTCGTTTGGGCTCGTCCAAACTCAGAATTGGGTTCTGTTTTTTCCTATGCGTCGCTAAGGAATCCCTCTATTCAATGATGCTTGAATGGCCAAATTATTCTTGAAACCATATTCTCCCAAAGCTCTTGACCTACACACTGAATGTGTTTCGCGCGATTTTGCTTTTGGGGCCCATTTGGACTCGTCCAAACTCGAAATTGAGTTTCACTTCTTCCTATATGTCGTCAACGAACCCATCTACACAACCATGACTATCCGGTCAACTTTCAGGCTAAATTTGTTCCTTGTGGGGCTTCCGACCTGCACCCTAAAAACAAGAAGAAAATCTGGAAAAACACACGAAAAACACATAGAAGACCAAAATAGAGTAAAACACACAATAAACTACAAAAACGACTAAAAACCAACGAAAAGACCTAAAATTGGGAAAAAAGAGAAACAAAACAATAAGAAAAAACGTAACAAAAATGGGTCAAACACACTTCATTCCAACTTTTCCAGTGCATTCCAGGGCATTGTTCTTCTTTTTGCCCCACTAGAACCCTACACTCAACATGGTGATCTCCTGGCAGGTTCCTTTAGGTAAGAAGGAACATGACATGGTAAAAATAGGCATAACATTGATCACTGATTTGAGTACTTCTTTACCAACAGTTGACAGGAATCTTTTTTTTCCCATCTAACCACTCTAGTCCTTACAGATTCCACCACAAAGCTAAAAAAACTCACTTTTAGATTTCTCCATACCTAGGTGAGCCCCAGGTATCGATTAGATTTTTGAACAGGGAATGTTTTCACTGAATCTCCAAAGGGATGTTTTTACTAAAGAAGACAGAAGATTTGGCTAGGTTTACTTTTTGCCCAGTTAAAACCTGGTATTTGTGTAACACTTCTAGAAGCACTTGGGCTTGTCTACTCTCATATTTAATACAAATTAAAGCATCATCTACAAACAGTAGGTGGGAGAACTGAGGACCTTGTTTAGATATTCTCATCCCAACAAAGTTCCCTTTCTCTCTTCATCTCTCAGAAAACTTGTAAAAACCTTAGACACCAAAATAAAAAGTTAAGGGGACAGGGGGTCCCCCTGCCCTATCCCTCTGGTTTCTCTCACATAGCCTTCATTTGATCATTTAAATTAAAAGAGTAAGCTAAAGTAGAAATGCAAACATACACCCCTTTAACAAAAGTGAGATAGAAACCAAGTTTAAGCAGGATTTTCTTAATGCAATTTCACTCAACTTTATCATAAGCTTTCTCCATATCTAGCTTGACAGCCATAAATCTACTTTTTTTACCTACGTCTATTAAGGAAATGAATAGCCTTTTGAGCTATAGTTACATTATCTAGCAACTTTCTACCTTGATTAAAGGCTGACAGATTATGGCTAACATAGAGGCTAAGGAAGTTCTTAAGTCTAGTGAAAAGGATTTTTTAAATTATCTTGTAAGAGACTTCACAGAGACATATTGGTCAGAAGTTGCTTAACGGATAAGGGTTGGGACACTTAGGCACTAAAGTAATGAGGGTATGGTTCCAATTTTTTAGTGTTTGACAAGACTCAAACTGAAGATACTAACACACAAATCAAAATTAATAACAGTTCATAATTTTTGAAAATATAAGGGAGACATACCATCTTGACCAGGAGCTTTGTTTGGATCCATACTGAACAGTGCATTAATGACTTCTTCTTCTTCAGTGACTGGGCTACTAGATTCTGATTCAGCTCATCTGAGATAGTATGAGGAAGATATTAAAGGATATCATATTCATCATTTGAGCCTTCTGAAGTGAAAAGCTCTTCATAGAAAGAGACCAAGCACTCTGCAATATCAGCCTGAGATTCACACACTTGCCCCTCAGAATTCACTAGTCTTTTTATGCCATTGGACTTGCTCATGTGCATAGTCTCAACATGGAAAACTTTATGTTGGAATCCACCTCTTGCAACCACTTAATTCTACCTTTCTGTCTCTAATAATCCTCTTATTTATTGTACTCTCTGTCTAGCTCTTTTTAACCTTAACTTACTCTTTCTAGTCCTTGTAACCCCCTTGGTCCTTCAAATCCTTCATCTTCTTTGTAAGTAGTCCTCTGTTCTTCTCACTGTCATCCTTAAAAGAGCTCTTCCACTTCAATAATGATACCTTGCTTATCTTATTCTTTTTGTAACCTGGAACATAGGTGTTCCAGATTTGGGTAGCTCTCAAACTCTCTTCACAATCTCTTCAACTCCTTCCTGCTTCATCCATTTTCTATCAAAGGTAAATCTTCTTTTTTGTGACTAATCTGATTTGGCTGATCTTGAAGCACCAAAAGATGATGACCTGAGGAGCTTCAAAAAATTTTAATCACTGTGGCCCTAGGGTGGTTTGCAAGCCAATTGAATGACCCAAAGAATCTATCAATCTCTCTTTAATGGAACCCTCCTCCTCAATATTATTTTCCCAAGTCAATCTATGACCTAAATTCTAGCACCGAATTTCTGAAAACCCCTGAGGTCCCTCTCTGCCTTTTTCTACCTTCCATTTTCTCATTTTGGTCTAGAACCTCATTCTAGTCCCCTCCTACCACCCGACTATCACCTAAATTCAGGTTATCCCTCCTTAAATTACCCTATTGTTTCTCCCTTACTTTTCTAAGAGAACTAGCATAAAAAAACTTAAACCAACAGGACCTTGTCTTCCATCTTGCAAATCAACTTCTACTTCAAAACAAAAATGGTTCTTAATAACCTACAACACCTTCACATCCCTAGCCTAAAGCAACAAAATACCAGCACTTAACCCCTGAGGCTCTACAGATTTCCATTTATTCTGGTAACTTATCTTATTATAGAACTGTAACACCCCGTTTATTTTAAAGGATTTACCCATTTTATTTATAAAAATCAGAGTTAATTTTTTGCAAATCTCAAATTAAATTTTAAAACTCAACGGGCGCTACTTAACTACCAAGAATGATTAAACAAAAATACAAACACATCAGATTAAACCTACACATGTATAACTAACAGTTATAAAAATTAAACCAAACATTTATTAGGTTCCAAAACCACCATTAAGTTGAAAACATAATTCATAGGTTCAATCCGACAATAATGAAATATCCAAATCCAAGCAGGAAAATAAACCAAGTCAAGGTAACAGCTCATCAATTCATAAACAGGCGAAAACATAATATAACGATATCATAATCGACCAATGACCACCATCTCGCTCGTCTTCACGCCACCACCACCAGCTCAGCTCAACCTAAATAAAGGAAGAGGAAAAAACAACAGAAGAATAATGGGGGTGAGCATAACCATCAAGCTCACCATTATCGCACAGTATATCCCGCATAAAGATTTCAACCATAAATAAAGTATGCATAGAATCCAGATCTAACTCCCTACTTGGCCCTATTGCAAACCTCCTATGTACATACAACAAACCTTCCGACCAGACATCGTCAAGGCCGTAACTAGAAACCTTCCCATCCCGGATACAACGAGCGTTAGGATCCTTTCCAGGAGACAGTTGAGATGTTTTTTCCCCTCCGGGTACAACGGCTCGGGGCGTCTCCTCCCGGATACAACGGGCAGGTGACCTCCCACTGTTTATGCATTCATCAAAGGCACTACCATACAGGACACTTAGACTAGGATTCTCACGCATACAACAATTATCGAAATAAACATTTATACGAAATAACAAGAGCGATAATTATGGATACAACACAATACCCACCTGATTGACGCGATAATCACAAGTACGAATCTCGATATAAGAGTGGTCAACACCTCAAAAAACCCACATTAAGTTAAGATATAAAATCACCACCTTATCTTGACCTAAAAAGGAACAATCAGACTTAGCCGAACTTGATTTCACTAAGTTGTCCGTGGAGTCCTGTGGACTTTGGAACTCTTGGACTTAGACTCGACCAAACAATTTATTGGAGTTCACACAATTTCAAATAAGAAATGGTCAAATCAAACAACAAGGGCAACATACAAATCAGCTTACAGACCTTAATACAAAACTACACTTTGAAAATAATTGTCGAGAAATCACAAATTCAAGATGGTCCAGCAAACCAATGAGTTAGGCTCTGATATTTTAACACAAAATTCACCTCCCTGGACTTACTAAAATCTCCAATTTTCAGCTCTTAACTCAAAACACATGATTTTATAAAATTCAAACAAGTTTACCTAAAAAACAAGCATAAATTCACAACCTGACCTAATGAACAAATTAAGACTTGAAATTTCAACAATAGTAGCTATAGCATGTGTGGACTAACATATAAAATTTGCAGCTATTAACACGAAACACATGAATTATAAAAGTTCTAACAAGATTCTGTAGAATTGAAATTTTCAACAAAGCCGAACCAAAATAAACTCAATTAGATCGGAACTTTCCACATCACGAAACAATTCATGAAATGAGCCCCGACACCAAAATTTAGCAATTTACAACAACAAGTATATTTTTCATAATTAAATCAAGATTCTGCAGAATACTTCAAACAATTTTCTAGCCTAGCAAACGAAGTCCAAAAAATCATGAAATTCTTACACAGCATGTAAATACAACAGGGAGACAGCGTATTCAAATTTCAGCCAATTTGGAGCACAACTCGATTTAATATGAAATTTACAAGATTCTGCCCAAAAATCAAAACAATTAATTAAAATAGCTACAGTTTGAATTAAATTCTGAAATTTTTACATGACGTGTATAATCATCAACACACAAAATTTCACATCATTCGGAGCTGCATGCGATTTATCATGAATTTAACACAAATACGGCAACCATTCAAGTTCGATAAATCATAACCGACACATAACTCAATTATTTCGTCCGAGGCCTTAGCCATAAGGCCAAGAACTTCCAAACGTCCCATATCCACAATATTCACACGACTAATAAGCGATCTCTTTCGATTTCACACGAACCGAAAGGATCCCGACACAATCACATATTATTTAAACATAACATGAAATGTAAACTTTAAAGCTATAACATGATAACACGACAAAGTAAATCGAACATAAAGAGGTGAAGTTCAAGCCGTCGATACTGTTCTCGGGAAGGCGCTCGAAAATAGAACGAATGAGGGTCTGACGGGGACGCACAACGGGGTTAAACGGCTCACGCTCGGCTCGCCGGAGACCCACGGAGGAGCAGTGACGGAGAGGCGGCTCGATAAGGAGCAGCGGCGCTCGGGTCGTCCTGGCCATGATGGTCGCCGGGAGTTACGCGCGCAGAGGATCGCCGGCTGCTCGCGGTGGCAGGGGTCGTCGTGGTGCAGCCTGCTCACGAAGGCGTTGCGATGAGGCGGTGCGGCAATGGCTCGTGGAGGACGAGGGCGTCGTCGTCGGAGATGGCCTGCTGGTTCACGGCGAGGGTTCGCGGAGAAAGAGAGTCGACACTATTCTTGCCGGAGGATCGCGAGGGCTGCGGAGACGGGGCCTGTGCGCGGAGGAGCAGCGATGGCCGTTGATCGCGGAGGAAGGAAAACTCGCCGGAGGAAGGGGCTCGCAGACAGATTTCTCACAACGATGGCGGTGACGGAAAAACGAGAGGAAGAGGATCTCTTGTGGCTTTTTGATGCGCGACATCGAGAGAGCTTGAGGAAGAGATGACGATCGCTTACGACGAGAGAGAGTTCGAGAGGATTGCGATGGCATGAGATTCTTTTTCTGTTCCGATGCGCGATATCGGGGGCGAGAGATTTAGAAGGTGACTGCGGGATTTCTAATTGTCGTGAGGAGCGTATGATAGGTATGCCTAGCTTAGGGTTTTCTTACTTGGTTCTCAAGACACACACACACACACGGTTCGGTGAAAACCGGGTCGGGCTCGGCCGGCTGGGCGTGCGGTCTTCTGGCCGGCTCTCAGGCTCGATTTCCAACTCATTATTTATATACGACGCTGGGGAAATAAATTACAACATCCGAAAATATTAATTAATCCGGTAATATATATACATCTATATTTCACATTAATATGTATATATGTAAAGCATTTAATAACATCACTTTGGCAATTAAATAAAATAAATAAATATCAATGCCAATAAAATATCCGAAAAATATGATAATCGAACGGGGCATTACAAGAATGATCTTACAAAATCATTATTATTTTTTTTATTGTTTCAGCTAAGAAGACAAAACTAAGGATATGGAATCTAGTAGATTCCTTCAACTAGGCAATTGTCGAGGGTCCTCCCAGAACTCTGCAGTTCCACACCATGACTTCATTGGGGTTTTGGAGGGCCAATTCAGGCTGGCACCTCCACCTCTTTCCAATCTCCTTTAAGCTTTTTGCCTTTGTTCCTCTAGTTAGTCAGTTTGTCTTCTTCACCCTCACAGTCACCCTCTATTCTCAAAACCCTTTTTTCTTGTCTGGTTGACCTCCTACCTTTTTGCTTGATTCTTAGTTCTCGACAATCTCCTTATTTGATTATAGTTCCTCTTCCATCCTTTCTTTTTGTGAGCTTGCTCAGTCTCCGGACTTGCTGCTCTGAGGCCTGCTTGACTGTCCTTGGGATGTTCTTTCTGTGATTCCATTGCCCCTTCAACTGTGTCATCCACCACTACTACAACTTCCCCTAAATTGTTTTCCTCCACCACAACTTCTATTATGTCCTGAGGCATCTCACTGGCCTCAATACCTCATGGTGTTTCTTCTCGATCCACCAACTCCATTAGAGTATCCATCCTTTTTCTTCCTTCGATTTCCTTCATCTTCCACTTAGTTGAATGATTTAAATAATTTATACTTTCTAATGAGAGTAGGGTATTCTCTCTGTCATATGGTTTATGAAGAGGACTTCTTGAGATAGGGGGTGACTCTGTGAACTTAGTTGAAGGCATGCTGGATGTAGAACCCCTTGATCCAAATCTACCCTCCATTGCTTTCATCCTTTCCCAAACTGCCCCTCATTTATTCTTCCCTTCTCAATATCGTCAATTCTTTTCACACAGTGTATCCAAATGGCTAATTGTTGGGCTCGTTTAGGAACGTCGAATTTATGCAAGTCACAGATTATCCACAAATTAAACCATACGCATAGTGCAACTAGAAGCTAGGATTCAACATGTATCGTTTAAAATTTTGTCAACTTTGAGACATTTTTTATTTTTGTTTATAGAGATCGTCTGAACCTCTCGTCGGTGTTCATCCCATCGCGATTACTTCAACATGTTACCAGATGTCCGACTCGCACCTTGCATTGCCTTGGGCTTCACACCATGGCCTCTGGCTGAACGGCATCGTCGGAGGGTCGTCGAACCATCACGTGACTGCTGGTGGTCGTCGGACCTCGTTGGTGGTTCTTGGTGCATTGGATTGTATGCTGGTGCACGAGTGTGCCATGGGCTCTTCGGGGACACACAAAGTGCACGCTGAGAAGGGGGAAAGCGCGCTGCGCGTGCACGAGACTGGGTGCTTGATCCGTGCTGGATGTGCTGGGGCGTGGAATTACTCGTGTGTATGATGTGCATGCGACTGGGGCGCAACGTACGCGCTGGGTACACCTGGTTGTAGGTCTACGCACGTCTGCACGGGGCTGAGCGTGGTGGCCCACGGCTGGGTGCGACTGGGCACGCGGTGGTGCCGCCGTGGTTGTCGATTGATCGTCGGACGTGTGTGGCTTGTCGCACGTGGTCGGGGTTGATCATCGGCAGCTCTTTAATAATTATGGGGTTAAATATATATATATGTGTGTGTGTATGTATGTGTGTGTGTGTATGTATATATATACATACATTCGCCTCGGTTTACCTCTGATCATCTGTTGTATGACTCGAAATCTTCTGCGTTTATTTTGGTGGGCGACGATCTTGGAGATATATCGATTGGAATTTTATACAGTGGCGGTTATACTAGAGCGTAAGGTTATGTTTATGGCTATCTTAAATCCAAGAGATGTGGTGTATTTATAGGCTACAAAAGAGATCCTAAGGAGGTGCTAGATATGGACTTCCCAAGTTTGGGCCAAACTATGGGTCGAGCCCACTCTGCTCGAACTTGAACAACATTTCAGTCCACCACAAAAATATTATTGCACTCCCAATTTAGCGCCCAAATTACATTTTAGGATCCAATAATAATTATCCGATTTACTTTCCCGTGTTTAAGATATAATATTCTAATTAATTTAATTACTGATAATATAATTAATTAACTTCTTGAACCAAGACTAGTACCATTAACATCTTTATTATTATGTTGGAACAAATTCCACCGGCCTGGTTTAGAAAATAATCCTTCTTGGACTCATCTCGAGGACATCATTAGACTATCGTACAAGGTGACCATAAATATTCGAACAACACACCATACACATAGCGCTACTATCCACAAAACGTCAGACTATTGAACTAGCTGAATTGATATTACTTTTTGGTGAATCAAAGTAGTAGCCACTTTATGCACATGCCTTTTTATATCTTCCAGGATAAGAGTAAACATTAATTAATCGAGGTCTAGTTTGTTTACCGATCAGTTCAAAACATACTTATCCTCTCTGGAATCCATTCAATGCATAGTGCACTAGTGTAACCAATCAGTTAAGAGAAACTGTACAATTAACATTATAACCGTTCACGATGGGTTGTTCATTTCCATCTTGATTGTGAACCATTTTATTTATGTTTTACAAGTAACTGATACGTGATCTTCTGTCTTATACGGGATATTGGATACAGAACCCTAATAGAACAAACTCAGCAAAGTGACCAACCAGGTCAAACGAACTGGCTGGTCGAACAGAATAACAAGAATGCCGTCAGTGGTCGAGCGCCACCAATGCAGGAATAAAATCTTCAGGTCGAAGATATATCACAAGGGGTATAGAGATGCAACAAAAGATCCATCTAGGGGCATCGGATGGCCTGTTGGAATCTCGACCTGCAGGCTTGGTTGGTTATATGATTGACTAGAAAGTACAACACTTGGTCTCAGAACATGCAACATTCTACCCCAGCGGACCTCGAGCTGGTCGTGCCATTAAGCAGTTTAACAGGAAAGACTAAGGGATAAGAAGGAATCTTAAGGGGTTAAGAGCCACACATGGATAGGGCCATGTGGCCTAACAGAATTGGGCAGTTCGGGCAGTTTGGGTTGCACTATCGGGCAGTTTGGGCAGCTTACTTGGGCAACAATGTATCATATTCCTATATAATGGAGCGAGGTATGCCCATTATCATATTACATTCTCTATTATTCCAAACACTATTTTATACACTTCATCTTCTACAAGTGCTCATTTAAGGATCGGAGGCTCTTCACCAGAAAACCCCTCCAGGGTGAGAGTTTTTTATGTTCGCAGGCATTCTACCGATGAGGGAGCTCGAGTTCAGGCCGATTCCAGCCGGCCGGAGGTCTTTTTCGTACCATTTTGGCACCGTCTGTGGGACCTTCGTTCGAAAAGCTGTGTTCACCATAGCCAGGACCGGTGAAATTCGCAAAATAAACTTAGAGCATACTTTCGATGATGAGTGGTCGAACACTCGCCCGTTCGAAGCAGGCCCACCGCCTGGCTTCTCTTGACCTTCTCAGACCCCGGTGACCCCGATGCCTAGTCCAACAAGCTTAAGGAGCTCATCGATGATCCTTGCTGATGTTGCAGGCTCGAGCTCATCGTAGACCTCATTATTTGCTGCGTATTGTTAACCCATAAGACAATGTACGGGCATATGTAGTCGACACTTGCTTATTTGATTTATCAAGGGTGATACTTATTCTGGTAGGTCGACATACTCGATATTTTGGTAAGTAATGTCGGCTGCATGATGTGCCGTTAATATTGTTTACGGTTACAGTATCCCAGGAAAGTCCGAGTTGATGACGTCCCAAAAGTGAGCTCAAGAAAGATCATTATGTCAAGCCCTGCAGGCGAATTGAGTACCGACATAATGATAAAGAATTGTATGGTATTAGCTTGAGACATAAAAGTTGGTTATTAAATTGTCAGTAATTAAATTAATCAACAGATGTTATATCTTAAATATGGGGATATAAATCGAGCAATAATAGGGAAATGAATTAATTATAATTCGGAGTTAAATTTGGAGTGCAATAATATTTCTCTAATAGAATGATTTATTATTCAAGTATTGAGCGGAGTGGGCTTGGCCCACAGTTGGGCTCATGATTGGGAAGCCCATATTTAACACCTCCAGGGTCTCTACTGTAGCCCTATAAATACACCAAGTCTCAACCCTCAAAACACGTCATCATATATGTTGCACGGCTTTTCTCTCCCACGAGGAAAAACAGATCGGAATCTTGTTTTCTTAAGAGTTTGTGAGATTTGAGAGCTTCATTCGATCACTCCACCAAGATCATTCGAAAGGTGTTTGGGTAATACAGTAGATGATCTTTCGGTCTTTTATTCATATCTCGTCTACATATATTTGCAAACCAAAGTTTCTGTAACTCACGGGGTTGTCCATTCTTCATGAAAATCGAGGTTTATATCTGCCAGAAGCTGGAGATCACCATCCAGCACCAGCTGGAGTCGGCCGCGCAGACCCGTCCCGCAGTGCGCAGAGCCGATCAAAACCCGTCCAGCGTGACTTGCAGGCATCCCCAACACAGCCCATGATGTTCTCACGCGCCCTGCGACCCGCACGCTCCCCGTCTCGATGTTTCTGCGCAACCCGCACTCCCGTCTAGAGACCCGTGCACTTCTCCATGACCCATAATGCCCCAGCACGACCCGCAGGGTGATCCGCGAGCTTCTCGCGCGAACCACGAGCTTCCTCCACATCCCAGTGTTGGGTTCTAGCATATCTAACCCCCACTGCCCGTGCCTGAGTTCCCAAAGACATAGGTCTCTCCCATCGTGCAGTCCATGGCTTCTCAGCACCATACTTGGGTCTAGTCCAGTCCACCCAAGTGACAACACCTAAAAGTGATCCAGCCCGGTTCAGAAGCGGTCCAGACTGGTTCATCCACCCTGGTGATCCCAGGGCAAGTTCCAAGCGATTCAACTAAGCTACCAGAGGTCCAGGATGGTCTGACGGGCCCGACGAGCAATCGGTGATGTGATGGCAAGGCCTAGTCCAACAACCCAACAGATTTTGAGGATCAGACAATCTCTAATAGCAAAAATCAGAAACATCTCAGAGTCAGAAAATTTTGAAACCGTAAGTCATAGTCCAAACTACAGATTCTGCTGTGTTAGGATTTATTTTGCTAGATTACAAGGCGCATATCGACATCGTTCCTAGTAGAACCCAACAGATAATACTAATAAAATTCTAGCAAAAAAGCTACCCAAGTTGAAAGGAGGATGATGAAGGCCTTAAAGACCAAATTCCGACCTCAATTGGGCGATGTTGGTCAGTCGGATCAGGTCATAAAGATCCTCGTTCCAAAGGGTGATCAAGGTATTATAATGGGAATTATACTTGGGTTTTTCACGTTGGCCAGGTTTTTGAGAGAGCATATAGAAGAAAAATAGAGGGCATTGGGGGGAGGTTGAACAAAGAAGAATTATTCCTTCCAGTAGGGGATTTCGAGGGTGCGATCCTTCAAGAAGAAAAAACTGTTTCTACGGGAGAGGTAAGAGAATTGTTCCACCAGTTTTAACTACTGCAATAAAAGAAAAACTCACGATCAAGCTTTTTCAAGAGGTACCGACTCAAGGTCAGAAACCGTACCATGAAGCGTATAGAGTTCGGGGTCAAATGGTTCAAAGGAGCTTGGTAGAGCTGGGCTAGCTCTACCAGATCACTCTTAGGAGGGAAGGTTATACCAACAGCCACCTAGTGTTAGTGTATATAATGAAAGCTTGGCTTTGGATATTATTTACACTATTTTTGTTGAATGAGATTCATGTTTGATTAAACAAGTTTTATGTTTTGTTGTTTTGTATTTAGATAAAATAGTTCATCGTGTGTGAATAGAAGATCATGTTATAAGTCACTTCCGAAACAAGAATGATTGGTTCACAACCTAGATGACAATGAACAACCATCATAATGGTTGTAGTGTCAACCGTACAGTTGATTTTAACTGATTAGTTGCTCTAGTACATTTATGTATTGAACAGGATCCCAAAGAGGAGCAGTTTGTTTTATACTGATCGTCGTAAACGAACTAGGCCTTGGTTAATTACTTCATTCTTTTAACCCGTAAGATATAAACGTGCATTGCATGCAATAGCTATTACTTTGATTCATTAAAAGCGAGATCCATTCTGTTGGGTCAATAGTCTTCGTGTTTTGGGTAATAGTGTTGCATGTATGATGTGTTGTTAGAATATTTACGGTCACCATGTGCGTTAGTTTGGCGATGTCCCCGAAGTGAGCTCATGAAGGATTATTATGGGTGGATTAAGTTCTGGCATAATAATAAAGATTAGAGTGGTGCTAGCTTCGATTCAAGATGTCAATTGATTCTTGATTGTCAGTAATCGAATTAATTGATGGACATTATATCTTAAACATGGGAGATAATACGAGTAATTATTGTTGGAGTCTCGAATATAATTCATGGATGATAAAAGAGTGCAATAATGTATCGTTACAGGACCGAAACATTATTTACGTTATTGAACCAAGTGGGCTTGGCCCACAGTTGAGCCCAATGACTTAAGAAGCCCACATCATCACCTCTTTAGGGTCCCTACTATAGCCCTATAAATACACCATTAAGCTCATGGGATTTAGAGAGAGACCATATACACGCATAAGCATACATTCGGTTGCCCCCTCATATATCCCGAGATTTATCTTCGTATTTGTTGCTCCACTGAGACAACCAAAGAGGTGTTGGGTAATTATAGAAGAAGTCCCCGAGGTAACCGAGACCCCAAAGACGATACACGAGCACCCATGTCACCACGAGTGACCAAGTGCAGCATGCGATCAAGCCGATACGTATTCCCGTCATCCACCATGCACGACCCGATCGCAGCAGCAGCCCGTCACACCCGTACACAGCAGCCTGAGTACATCGCGCGTCTACCCCGGCAACCGCGACCCGCTTGCTGCTATCCCCACTCGACCGAGAGCCGTTGTTCGCGACTTACTGCAACCGCGCGACGCTCCTGGAAACTTCTCGACATCTGAAGAGAAGAAATCCAACTTCCCAATAAATTCGGAGAGTTCAGACGATCTCCAACAGCGTGAATCTAAGTTAGGGAAGGGCTTCCTTAGAATGTTCATAACAGACAGGATGAGAGGTCGAGCTAACGACCTAAGGATCCCCAGGCTAAAACAGGCGGGAATTTAGTAAGAAGGAAAGAATCAGTCGCTCAAAGAACTCTTTCCAGGATAGAGACGTGGTAAGTTAGGGAAGTAGAATCCAGGTGGATCTCTTCCCTAACAAGACCTCTCTTTGGCTCCAAGAAATCAAATCGTATAAAATAACAACAGGTTCTTTTGATTTACATAACACATAATCCACTCCTGTTCCATATACTTTGTACTTACAGTTTCAAGCGAGTTCTGACTTGAGCGTCGGAGAGTTTTTTGCCGGGACCCCCCTCTCGGCGTATTGCAGGTTATCGGCAGCTCAAGTAAAGAGTTAGTTCCAAGCAGTGTTGTAAATGAACCAAACCGAACCGAGCTTGGGTTGTTCGAGCTCGTGTTCATTTACGTTCGAATAGTGTTCGTGTTCACTCATTTATTTTTCGAACAAAAAATCGTGTTCGAGATCGTTCATTTAATTATTCGTCAAAGTTCGAGTTCGTTCGTGTTCGAATAATTTAATACATAAACTTTTTAAATATGTTTGATTAATTCAAAATATGTTCGCTCGAACTCAAAAATAGAAAAATAAGACAAAAATATTTGTATATTTTAGATTTTTTTATTAAAAATATTATGTAAATATATAAAAAAAATAAAATAAAATTATATTAAATTAGTGTTCGCGTATATTATCGAACGTTCACGAACGAGCTCGTGTTCGTTTGATTATTAAACGAGCCTAATTTTGTGTTCAAACTCGGCTCGATTAACAAACGAATGAGCATTTTTCGAACACAAACGAGCTCAAACGAGCTTTTGTCGAACACGAACGAGCTCGAACGAGCTTTTGTTCGCGAATATTCGGTCCATTTATAGCTCTAGTTCCAAGTGGTAGGTTTTCAACCCGATCATGACCAAAAGGTTACGTATCAAATAGTGTTAACGAAAATTCGAGCTTTTAATATACAAACTAACACCAATTACCCCATATTAGAAACATAAGTTTACAAAATATTTATACTTAAAGCTGACCACAACCTGCTGATTATTCAACTTCATATGTGCACATCTAGGATAGGCTTTAGTTACATCAATTGTCACCAACAGTCTCATGAAGCTACCCCTTGTACCCCTTGCTTTTATTACACCACATTTTTGGTTTTTTTTGAATATTTTCTCTATTTTTACTCCTACCTCCGAGCTGAGCCAATTGAGAGGGAGGTTATTAACTTGGACCCACAAGTAACCATTATGGTGCACTGAAATTCCCTCTTCCAATTCCAACAGTATCAGATACTGGTCCTCATTGTCGACATAGCCCTTCAGATTCCAATTAGGTTGGCTTTCCTTTCACATATTATTTTACCAAATAGGCCTCTCGAGCATTTCTCTTCACTCGCGTTGATACATTCCTCTCCCAATTCAATTATCTTATTTTCTGATTCTGAGAGGTCCATTTTCTTCAATCCGTCACCTAGCTCTTCCGCCTATCCCATTGAACTAGTATCCCCGTCACTTTAGAATCCATCGAAGATATGTACAATACAAAAAACCAAAAATTCCCCAAAATCAAACTTAAGAAGAAGTAGGAAAAGAGTGGAAAATAAACCAAAACAAGCAGCCCTAGCCGGCTAAGACTACTCACAGCTTGTAACATGAAAGGCGATCCAAACCCCTCACAAACAATAAAACCTAAGTGGAAGACAACGGAGAAGGGAGAGAATCCAAGTTATGTGAAAAGTTCTCACGTATGGTAAATTCTGCAGTGGAGTTGGATATGTGATTTGTGAACTATGCGAAAATATGCTGCATAATATATGAAACAGTCGATTCGGATATGCGATAACAGAATTGACGAAAAGTTCTCGCACATGGTAAATTATGCAGTGAATTTGGATACTCGAGCCGTAAACTATGCGACAGTATTTCACATAATCATAGAACATTCGATGTTCGATTTGGATACGCGATTACATAATATATGGAAGTCTTTCCGATTTGGATATGCAAGACATAAAATATGCGAAAATTTGTGGTATAATCGTAAAATATGCGGCTATCAATTTGGATATGCGATAATTATATATGTGAAATAATTTCGTCTTGCAAAAATTATTTAGTGGATTAATTGGATATGCGATAAATAAATATGCGAATGTGTTTCGTGTAATTGTTAATTATGCATCTGATTTGGATATACGTTAGTATATATATGACAAAATCTCGCATAATTTTTAATTATGTTGTTCATTTTGATATGCGATTTTTATATCGCATATAGTTTCGTAAGTAATGAGGTGGAAAAGAAGTTTTTTTTTTATGAAACAATATGTAAAAGAAAGTACATGCAATAAGTGTAGCGTTCCGCTCGTTATTAGAATTTTTTGAATATTATATTATTATTTATTTATTTATAATTGATTATTTGCCTTTGCTTTATTTATTTGCCGGTTATTTTGTTAACTGCTCATCTTAATGTTCTTGCCCTTAATTTATATGATTACATTTTCTTATATTCATATGTGATTGCTTTTATTTGTATGCTATGTGTTTGACTTGATTTAATTAATATTATTTGTTAATTAACTCGTTCGGTAAATTTCGGTTCAAATCGCTTAGATTTATCTCGAGTTTCTCGAATCTTAGTTATTTCGGCCCAATTGATTTGGGAAATCGGCCCCTTTATCCCTTTGGCTTTGGAGTTGTTCATTTTGAAATTCAAATTAAATTGATGAGTGACTCATTCTTGGCAAATATATCAAGCCATAAACATCCTTTGACCGGTCTTAATTGGCTAATTAGTGGGTAATTGTTCTCAATCTTTATCCTCCTTGTTTTGGCCAATTGGAAACTCTTCCAATTTATCCCATAAATTATGAAATCAAAAAAACACATCATTGTATACAAAGATGATCATCATTATCTTCCCCAAGTTTTCTTTCCTTTCGTACATATCTTCCCTCCAAGACCAAGCCGAGGTAAATCTTTCTTTTGTAGAATCGTATGATTGTTCTTTCTGTCACCCTCTGCCCTCGAATTCTTCTCTCTCGCCATCTCTCGGCCACCCTCACCACAGCAGACCTGCTTCTGTTCATCTCACGCCCTTGTTGAAAACCAGCGAGTTCCATCGTCGTTTTCACACGAACAACCAGCAACGAGAAACCCTTGCACGGCCATTCCCCTTCAGTCGTTCACGAGCACCACCGAGGGCGACCAGCATCAACACCAATCATCGGCCCTTCGTGCAAGCGCAACCAGCCCGAGACGTGCATCGCCGTCGAGCTCCCGCACACACATGCATCAGCCCCAGTTCGTCCTCCCTCCATGCACCACGTGTGAATTCTTGTTTTGTGTATGGTAATTGATGGTTGATTCCCTCTTCTTTATATGTGTTCAGGCTGGATATTGATGATCTATGGAGGTTTTATTATGTGTATTGATGTTTAAGTTAATGATTATGTGAAATTTGTTGAGATTCAAACGGTTTAATGAAGAAAATTCTAAACCCAGATCTGAAACTTTTTTTCTCTCTCTCTGAAAAAAAAAAGAATCCTCGGTCGAACATCCCAGATCTGAAGACCAGAGGCCTTCTCCTCTCTGGGCATCTCTTTCGCAGGCTGGTAGCTGTGGTCCTAACTCCCACGTTCTCCTATTCGGCACTCTTTGTGTTCCCTTTGGGCAGGGGAGAGACCTCCAGTTGGTTCTCCTCCTTTTTGTCGGAGGAGCCGCTGGAGTTCTCAGGTTGAGTGAGATAAGGTGGTGGGCTTCCAAGGGCTGTGGTGGCAGTGCTCGTCTGAGTCGGATTTCCACATTGATTAGCCGATGTGCGCCTTCGGAGTTTTCAATTTTGGGGGTTAGGGTTGGGCGTTTCCTACGGTGCTTTGCGGCTCTCATGTGGTTGTGTTAGGATTCCGTCGTGGTTGTTGTGTGGTGTTGCTCTGGAGGTGGCCCTAACACCTCATGTTTCCGGCAAGCTCTTGGACCGTCATATGGGACTGGCGTCGTGACACTGGTGGCTCTCTGCTCCTCTTCCCTGCGTGGTCGTCAAACTTTCCTGTTTGCCATGGCGGGCAAAGGTGGGTGGACAGTGCCGGTGTTTGCGTTCTGGCGGACGTCACGGACGGCGTTGCAACGTTCGGGACGGTGGTCTGTGCCTTGGTTTTCCCCTATTCCCAAAATTCCCTGGTGTTGGTATTTTGGTTCCTCCGGTGACGGATCTGTGTCTGTACGGTGGCTTCAGAGTATGCGTGGGGGAAGCTGTGGTGTGGACCGGCCTAGGGTGGTCTATGCGGGTACTGGGGGAGGTTTTCGATGTCATTGGTCCAGGTCTTGTTAGCCCATTAGGGGAGTTTCGAGTCCCATTGTGCTGGGCCGTGTTTCGTGAACTTTTTCTTGGTAGGTTGCGTTAGGGTTGGCTCGATTCGTGGGGTGCCGGTGGCTCCTTTCTGGAGGGGAGGTCCATTGTTAGCTTAGAGTGTTTGTTTTTTTTTTCTTTTTTTTGTTGTTTGTGTTGCTCTGTTTTGTTAGAGTTCTGTGTTTTCTGTTTGTGTTAATTGGGTTTTTTTTAGTGTTTTTAGGTGTCGATTATTAGTGTTATTATCCCGGTTGGGAACTAGATTCNAAAAACCGTTTAATGAAGAAACCATTGAATCTCGTTTAATTTTGTGAAACCCCAATAGATTTTGGAACTTAGGTCTGTCCTTGGTCTAATGGTGAAGACCTTGGATGATTTGGATGTGATTTGACCGAGTTATGAATTTTTAGAATCGAGTCTGCTGCTGAATCTTGGAAAAATCATTAAAAATCGAGTACTTGGACATTTGGTGTGAAATTTGGATAGATATACTCTATTGGATATATCTTTGGTGTAAAAATTTCAAATTAAAAATCGCATGTTTGTTATGTGAACTGCGTAATTATTGTTTTGGTTTGTTTCTTCAAAAATTCATATAAAATCGTGTCATTGCTAAAATGTGTTGAACTTCTGGGATTATGAATCTTTCAGGGTGTTTGACATTGTGTCAAAATTTCAAATGAAAACTCGAACCCTAGCCTATTGAACCAGAAAACGTTTGTTTTGTTCTTGTTTTTACAAAAATTGTTTGAACTGGTTAGGAGTTGATTTAAGGGTCATCATCTGGTGTGTCGATGTATTTTTGAGTTCTTTATATGTGGTTAAAATTTCAAGTCATTTCCCCGAGCACTTGTCTTGTGACGTGTGATATTCGTTTAAGTATTGAGTTTTGAAAACCCTATTTGGAACCTTCGTACTGTTGGTTGTTCGTCGCTGTAGTTGATCTTCGAAACTCGACCAACGTTTTTGAACTCTTCTGATGAATTAAAGTTCAACCTCTTATGTTTCATCTCGAATAGGAATCATGTTATTATCACTTTTATTCTGATAGTTGTGGCCAAAGTTTGGCAATGGCCCGTCCAGTTTTTCTGTATTACCTGTAATGCATGTAGTATGTTTATCTTGTTGTTTTGGGTACTGTAACCTTGTTGTCCCTTTCTGGAGTCTTCACATAAATTGTAGTTCAATGTGTTATCTTTCTTTTGGAAAAATAATCGAGTGTTTATCATTTGTAGACTGGAAATTGTGTCAAAAATATGATCGTTGTGCAATCTGAAAATTGACAACAGGTTTGTTGTGTAACTTTGATCTGTTTCAGCCCTTTAACTTGCCCGAATGAGCTCAACGTCTGCATGAAAGTTTTAGTTCTGTCTCTCAAGATCGTTTTGGAGGAAGAATCACTTCGATTTGAGTTTTCTACCAAAAGTTATATTCAAAACAAAATCGTTACGCATAAGAGTTACCCATTTTTTTTTGGCAACTTGGTTTTTATGTTTTCTCTTGCCCGTTTTTCGTGTCGAGTCTATTTTTAATGCTTTTGAATTGTTTTTCCGAGTCTAGTTGTCAAATATAAGTGTTTCAAACTGCACAAATTCCACGAACTACTTAGTCAATGATGTTCGACTAAGTATGAATGTTCGTGTATAATTCTAAGTGTCGGGATAGTATGTTGATAAGACTATCTTGAATAAAATTGTAGGTGTTTGAGGAGTCGAGCCTCATCCTACCTGCAACCGATCATGATTTGTCTGCTTTAACTGATCAGGTGGGTGTTGATAAACTACAATGTATGTTAATTTCTATAAATGTTTGGCTTGATGATCTATGTATGCATGTGAAATGGTAGTCTATGAGGCCTAACTCTAGCCTTTAGAGAGCGCAGTCCTGGTGTGGGCAGCTCTAGTCCTAGTGTGGACGGCTCCAGTGCTGGGGTGGATGGTTGTTCCTATCTTTTTCGGGATTGATAGGATAGAGGTGTGATCACATGAGCGTGGCTGTGTTTAGGGAGGGTAGACTAGTCGATATGCTTACATACTGTGACCATGATTTTAAGTCTTTATATAGATTATACTGCATGGTATTCCCACTGTGAGATAGTTGTTT